ATGGGCAAAGTAATAAACTTCTTTCCAAGATAGGCATCTTTTCCTAGGCAAAGTAATAAATGTCTTTCCAAGATAGGCATCTTTTCATGGGCAAAGTAATAAATGCCTTTTCAAGATCGCACTGAGCGGGCATCATGACAGGCCCAAAAAAGGAATATGGCAGATCAAACATGTTTGGACTGATGTGCGAGGAATATGAGTGGGAACGATATACAGAAAACCAAGTTGCGAAATCACACAGATGTCCAAGTAATCGTGTGCAAGCAGAGAGCACAAATGCACCGAGATCCCATCCAAATAAGAGCAATACAATGAAGTAATGAGCCAACGTTCAATCCCTCAGGCCACACCAACACAGTATCCAAAGTCGCTCCTCTCTGTCTGGCGCGCAGCTCCCAGCCTACACTACTCGACTATCCTAACTACATCAGCATTCTCGCAACAGGCTCACTTCGACTCTCGAAGACCATAGCCGACCTCTCTCTCTCATGTACCAGGTACGTATCTCATCTCCCCTCATCAGACCCTGTCCACCCACACTCGCCTCCTTCCTGAAGACCACCGATCGCCCTCTCACCCCCTAGCTCCCTGCAGCCCGGCTATGGCTGCTTGCGCTCCGCTGCCCAGCGGCGCCCCCTCTTCACCTCACACGCGCCCGCACGTGCTCTGGCCTCAGCGCAGCACGCAGCCTCTAACGCAGCAGCGCAACAGCGTGACTGCATTGCCTGTGTGGGCCAGAATGCCTGACCCTGGCTGCCATCCTTCCTATATGGAAGTGGCAGCGTCTGTTTGGCTGCGTGTGGCCTGGCTGGAAGCTTCCAGTAGCTTCCCGTTGGGCCCCAGTGCCTGTGCCCAGGCCCGGTGCTACAGTTGAGGGCCTGGGCCGTTTACAGTTGGGCACGGCCTGAGGCTCCAGACTTGGGCCGTTTGCTGCATCTGCACAGGACCCGGGGTACGTACGTCGACAGTGCTGCCTTTGCGTAGGCCTGTGGCCACTTCGTGATGTATCGGCCCTGCATTGTGTGTATGTGCCCAGGTGCAACTGCCAAGGCCTGGGCCAAACTGTACGACGCAGCTTAGGGAGGTTCACGGGTCCACTCAAACAACTGGCGGGCTGCAACAGCCTGAGTACCCACATATGCAAAATGTCAAATTTTGGCCTTCAGTGATTATTCAGGCCCGCCTTCACTTAGGGCGGGCACTTGGCTTGCTGGGGGGCTCTGCCCAGAACATGTGCATGCTTGACAAGGGCCCCGCGAGGGCTCATTCCTCGCATTCCATCCTCCTTAGCTTCGAAAGTCCGCTGAGATGCTTCATGCTGGTGCTTTCCCCATCAATTTTCTTTCATACTCGGCCACGATCTGAGGAGTTGTCTTGACAAGTTCCTCTCTTGTGGACCATCGATCTTCCTTGGGATCAATATGATGTCTGAACCGTACTCTGTACTCTCTCGCAGGTTTAGGCGGTCTACCCCTGCCAGCTGGCTTGGGAACAGGCATGTCTCTGTGCTCCAGGATATCGTCGACGTCCACATGACCATCCATGGTTGGGGGCAGCATAGATCTCCTTGATGGGAACCGTTCTGTCTCAGCGAAAGGTGCAAGCTTTGAGGCGTGAAACACAGGGTAAGTGCGTAGGTGCCCAGGGATACGAATCAGGTACAAGGGACCATCCAAATCACTACCCACAATATCTAAGACTTCCCAGGGACCGAAATACTGAGGCATTAGTTTTCTAGAGATGCCAAACTCCTGTCCCAACTCACTAGCCTTGACCCAGACACGTTCCCCTACCTGAAATGTGGACTGTCGGCGATGCTTGTTCTCATAAGCGATCATTGCTTCCTGAGATTTCTTGATGTGCTCAATTGTCTGCTGCAACAATTTCTCATACTAGACACCAAATTTAATGGTTCCAGGAGGTGCAGCAGTTCAATTTTCAGGCAGGAGGAAGTTTAGAGCAGATATAGGCTTCCACCCCAGATGCAACTGATTAGGATTAACGCCGGTGGTGCTATGTACAACATTATTGTACAGGCTGGCGATGACAGGTAGTTTCTCATCCCAGTCATCCTGGCTGGGCTTGATATAGTGCCTCAGGAGATGCTGCACCACTCGGTTCATCTGTTCAGCCTGCCCATTGGCTTCAAGATGACTCCCATATGTCATTTGGAGCTGGCTGCCCATCTGTTCAGCGGCCTTTTTCCACATCTCGCTGGTGAACCAGAAATCTCTATCACCAAAATCATGCACCCAGTTATCCATAAATAACTTGATGACATGCTCAGTCTTGGCACTCTCAGGCATGGCGATTAGTCTAGCGTACTTGGTGAACCAGCGGGAATGGGTAAAGGCTTTAGTAACCCAAGCCGGGCTTGAGTCCACGACGTATCCTGCTGACAGACTTGGCAAGTTTGAACATAGGTCTTTGCATCGTCAAGCATGTTAGACCACCAGAATCGCTGTACCAAGTCTTCTTGTAGCCGAAGTGTCCTATTGCATCATGGCATTCGCCTAAAAATAAACTACGCAAAATCTCTCTAGAGGGCACAACTAGTCTCTTGAACCCTGCCTTCTCAAGAACGAGCAACCCATCCACCATCACAAACTCATTTGTTGTGGCCTTGTCCTGGGCCTCAAGTTTGTGGATGATGTCCATCGTGACATGGTCTTCCTTGTAGGCTTCCACTAAGGATCGAGTTACATTGTCCGATAAGCCAAACTCGGTAATCAGCGCACCCAGGTAGTCTGCCCTACATGACAATGCATCAGCAACCTTGTTATACGCTCCTTTCACGTGATCTAACTTGAAGTCATACTGATTTATGACTTCAATCCAGCATTTGAGTGCGTCAGAGAGAACAGGTTGTGTCTTGATCCACTTGAGTGTCTGATGGTCAGTCCTCAAATAGAAGAACCGTCCCAACAAATAGTGCCTCCAGTGGACAAGTGCCTTGTAAAGGGCGTAGAGTTACCTTTCATAGGCAGACTTCACCAATTTCTTGGATGGCATCTTCTTACTCATGTACTCGATCGGCCTTAACTTTTTCCTTTCCTGCTAAGCCAACACTACGCCAATGGCATATTGGCTTGCGTCAGTGGTCACTACAAATGGCCTTCGAGGATCGGGAACCATGAGAACCTCATGATGTGTAAGGGCACGCTTCAATCTTTTGAAAGTAGCCTCACATGCGTCTGTCCATTCCCATGGAGTGTCAAAGGCGTGTTAGATTAGTCAAGGGAGATGCGATCGTACTATAGTTTTGTACAAAATTGCGGCAATAACCACACAGCCCCCATAAAGATTTGACCTCAGACACAGACTTGGGTCGTGGCCAGTCTCTAATGCTAGCAACCTTCGCATCTTCCAGCCTAATCCATTCTGTGGATAATTCATGACCAAGTACAAGATTTTAGTACGACCAAACGGACATTTCTCTAAATTTATCTTATACTTGTGTTGCCGAAGGAGAGAAAGGACTTTGTCTACATGCTGAGCATGCTCCTCGACAGTCCTACTGAAGATAAGAATGTCGTCGAGGTACACGACGATAAACTTATCCAAGTAGTCACGGAAGATCATGTTCATGGTGTACTGGAATGTACCCGACGCATTGCAAAGGCCGAAAGGCATCACCACAAACTCGTACAGACCGTACCTGGTCTGAAATGCGGTTTTGTGTTGGTCCTCCAGTCTAATGGCAATTTGATGGTAGTCGAACTTCAAGTCTATCTTGGTAAAGTACTTACATCCCTGCACCCTATCCAGTAGGCCATCGATGTGTGGTAGGGGCTTTGCGTTTTTAACGGTGATGGCATTGAGGCCCCTATAATCAATGCACATCCTCAGTGATCCCCCCTTCTTCGGTACGAATAAAACTGGTAAGCCGAAGGGGGAGATGCCAGGCCGCATCCAACCCTTTTCTATGAGCTCTTTCAGTTGCCGCCGAAGCTCGTCCAACTCAGTCGGAGCCATCCTATAGATTCTCCCTTTGGGTACCCAGGGATGATTTTTATGGCATGGACAACCTCCCTATCTATGACACCTGTGGGATCGTCAAACAGATTAGGGTACTCGGCAACCACACTCTCTATCTTTGGGGGTCATTTAACGGCTTCCCCTTTCTCAGAGATAAAGACCAGGTACATACCTTCCGCTTGGCTCTGTTTATAGTAATTATAGAAGGCCGATGAGCACAAACACCCGTAGGAGTCAATTAACCTACTAGCCTTATATTTAGCTAGTCTAACGGTTCTCCCATTAGGCAGCTCATGCTTCAGGACTTTCCTGTCCCAGTCAAACTGAGGCTTGGCAACCTCAAGGTAGTAACAACATGTCAAATGGTAGGTCGTCGCTAACTAGGAACAAAATCTTATGCATAGGAGAAAGTGCAGACCACGTCCTAAACGTAGTCCTCCACCAACATGCGCTCTTTGTTGGCCAGAGTAGATGCTACCGGTGTACTAAGGCGCTGCACCCGGTCCTGTAGGCACAGTCTATCAACACAGTCGTGACTTATAAAGTTCGCGAGGAGCCGATATCTACGAAGGCACCGCACTTGCAATCTACTACACCAACTACCATAACGAAGTGCTCCCCTCTAGGACCTTGACTTAGTGCCACCCAGGACTCACAAGAGTATCACTGGGTCAGGATGCGTCTGTGGGGTGACTAAGGAGTCAAAAGCTTCGGCCTACTCTTGAAACGGGGAGGGTACATCACCCGCTTCAATGAGAGTAGAAGCAGCTACAACTTCTACTGGCCCTGGGTGTTTCCGGAGCCGGAACTCATAGAGGCACCGCTCTAGGAAGAAGGAATCCCACCTTTAGGTGCTATCTTCTGCGGGACCTTTGCGTTCTTGCATTGAAACTGCTGATGGTCATACTCACCGCAGGTAATGCAAGCACCCCGCGTAAAACGGTCCCACCACACATCTTGATCCAAACCTACGTGAACCCAAGCCGCTATCTTGTGCGGGTTCGGGTTTTGCCCCTGACTCCTCTGTTGACCGCCCTTGTCGCGGCCACCTGCCTTACCCTTTACTACAACAACGAGGTTGCTACCCTCAGCATCATCCTCGCTGTCTATCTCTGTACTGTCCACAAGGTCGGAGAAATCCTCGATCTCGGTCTGAGTACCATCGGCCTCGACCATCATCAATCAACTCCCCTTCTTCTTCCATTCTTGTGGACCCCTCTTCTTTCTTTCTTCCGTAGGGAGTTGTTCAACACCTCCTAGCGTGGCCTCTAAATCTAAAGCCTTCTTGCTAGAGGTCTTAAAACTGTGATACTCTAGCCGAGCTTCGCTGGCTAATAAGTTCTTGATGTTTGTGGGAAGACACCTCAAGAACATGGTCAATAAGGCCTGTGGATTGTATTGTACCCCGGGAACAACAATCAAACGCTCTACGACAGAGGTGAGCTCGCGCACAGACTTAAACTTTTTAGTATCAAGTTTCAGCAACCCATCAATGGCAATCTGTGCCTGTTGCGGGTTGTGCCATCTCGCTTCCACCAAATCCATAAAGCTTTTTAGGGTATGGGTCTTATTTTTGTCGAACCTCTTTGAGGCAACCAATCCTTTCAACTAGTGAGTTGTCGATCCCTCCAAATAGGATGCAGCAGTTATCACTTCCTCCTCTACCAACGTCCTCTTCGCCCTCACCCACACTGGCACCGTTCTCAACCAAGTGTCGAAAGCCTCATCCTTCTTATTTCTTGAGAAGGTTGGGGGTGGTTTCAATGGGGTCTTGGGGTACCAAGGCTGTTGTTGTCCCGCTGGTGGGACAGGTGGCGACTGTGGTGTATCTCCAACCGTTGGACCAGAAGATGAAGAAGCAACAGTTTGTGCTGCTGCTGCTGAAGTACCGCTTGGTGTGGTACCAGACTGAGGCGGATACGAGCTTATCATCGCCGAGAATGGCAGCGATGGCAAAACTGCTGGCCTGACTCCTGGCCTGTGCATGGCATTGAGGATCTGGTCGAGGGTGTCCTAGATAGCGTCCGGTTTGTTGTCCATGTATGCATGCATGGACAGGATGCTCGCCTTGAGAATCCTTGCGGTGTCGTCAAGCGTTGAGTCCCCTCTAAAGCAGCTTTGTCTGCCGCCCTACCCTCAAGTCTGACACGTCTCTTTCTAATTTGATTATCTCTTTCAATAGCCTTTTTAAGTTCCTCCTCTAGCCTTAAGCGGATCCTCTCTACTTGTTGGAGCTCCATCTACTCCCGGGTGCGGCGAGAACTGCAAGCCCGCCATGTGACTAGTGCCAGCTCCTGACGTACTGGAGCTGGACTGCGAGCTGGTCTGCTGACCAGACGAGGTTGCTGTAGATGTTGCTGCAGAGGTAGGCATTGCTACTGCGCTAGCTTCTCCTGCCGCTAACGTCCTCTCTACAGTTGCTGCTACTTCCTTGGCAATCTCAAGATTACGGGCCCTTGCTTCGACCCTTAGCCTTCTTTCTTCTCCTAGTAGGACCTGGAACACTACAAGTACCCTAAGCGAATCACGCCTAGTCTGCCTTCTATCGTCAGTTGTACCTTCACCACCTTCCGATCCACTCATCGGCTAGGCAGACGCTGTCTGCACTAGTATCCACTCTGGAAACTACTGCAGCATGCGTCTGACCGGTTTTAAAAATAAATAAGGTTAAATATCCGACGAGTTACCTAGACTATCGTTCAAGCGATATCAACAGCGTTCACACAGACTGTACACATAATCTAAATCTGCTTTGATTAGTTCTCTTACAGCAGCTTCGAGGAGAACTGGCTATGGTAGAACACTACAGTTCTAGTTTAGGCTGTCTGTGAGGTGTTAGCAGTCTGTCGACCAACTAATCAAAATAAAAATAAATTATTTGAGCAGATGTATGCACATTGGGTATAGTTGTGTCTGACAGTTGAGTCTCAATTGGTATCTTCCTCCCCTGTATCCAACGTGCCTGTAGCCATCATTAAGCGACAGTGTCTAAGGTGTGCATTAGCGGCCCACCCCTGTGCCCAAGGCATATGCTTATGACCAGAACTGCCCGTTGTTTATCCTCACGTGCAACGAGCCTTACGTCTGACTCATCTGGCTGATCAAGAGGCAGTTTACGGACAACCCCCACGGACCTCAGGAATTATTTAACATCGCAATCAGGACGACGATCACAGCCAGTCGACAAATCAGACACCTGCCAGAAATGTTTATAGATGGTTTGGGTAGCGTTTGCAAAGGATTGGTCAGTCCGCACACCCCACCCCTCCTATCAACGCAGCAAAGAGCCTCAAAGGACAAAGCAGCATGGCCTGCGTGTACTACTCCCATGGGTTGGCATGGTGACTGTGACCCGTGCTTTGACCAGGGCCCTTCAGAGGCACCGCCCTCTCCTGCCAGATGCGCCACCGGGAAGAATGTCATCTCTCAAGGTAGAGCGCTCACGACTCCTCACACCGAAGAGAGGACACTCAAGGTTGGAGTCACTTCCTCATGGTAAGAAGAGATTGAGAGGGTAGATAAGGTAAGGGCACAACGTACCTGGAGATAGCTGCCCCCAACCACAGATTTCTCACCAATTGAGCCGATGTGCATTTTGATGACCGATCATAGCTTTGGTACCACCCACAACGCAATGCAGTGCCACCTCAGCCAAAATGCCACATCAGCATGCTCTCATCATCATACATACATCCGCTTTTACCAGAGTTCCCACGCTGTTGCCACAACCTTCTTGTGGCCGGCCCCTCTACCCGGGCCCTGCTATATCAAGCGCTGCACAGAAGCATCGTCAGCGCACCAAGTAACAATGTCGCCAGCGTCAGGTAAGTCGCAATCTCGAACCAGCTCCGATACCAAATTGCAAGGAATATGAGTGGGAACGATATACAGAAAGGCCGCTGCATTGATGTTTGCGTGTGGAGTGTAGGCTATTCTCTGCAAATTTGCAGTGTCTTCCTCCAATTCCCTGTTCTGATCCCTGAGAGCCTCGACTTGTGCCTCCAAGATCGCTGCTTGCCTCTTTTCCTCTTCCATCTGTTCATCCACACCTAACCCCTGGGCGGAATCTGACAAAGCCTGATCACTACTTCCCAATCGCTCCGCTTCTTGCTGTCGGGCCCTTCGTTTCTGTTCGGATCTCTTCAGACTATGTGGCTGGTAAAATTTGGGCCAGATGAACTGCTTGGCGCACCCAACATTGTGCACCGTGATGTCATTCTTGTCCAACCTCGCCTTCCATCCATATTGCGTAGCGTAAAACTCATTAACCTCCTGTTCATTCTTCAGTCTCTCGAATTTGTTCGTTGTTGTAATGTCATCCCCCGCTGCTATGGCTTGTTTCAAATTGCGCAGATGCTTGTGGTGTGCCAGACGAATCTCACATTCAATGTGTCTCTCCCACTTCAGCTTGTGAACGTGTTTGATCCACTGTGCTAGTGACTCCGGTTCGTCCTCCCCTTCTTCCTCCTCCCCTTCCTCTTCCCCCTTGTCACTGTCCCGATCCAAATCTGTATCTGAATCCGAATCATGTGACATTTTCCCTGCTCCTTCATCCTCCTCCGCCCTCAAATCCTCTGTTGTGTTTTCCGTATCACCTGAAGGTGATCTGTTTGTAGAGCTGGTTCGACCTATTGAAGGCCCATGTTCTGTTTGCTGGTCCATTGAAGTTGACGCCGACGTGTCATCTGAAGAGGCTGTAATTTCCATTTTTTCCCCTTGAGATCCTTGCTCCCCCTTGCCTTCTTCTTCCATATCTGCCTTGTGCTCCTGTTCCCCCTGTGTGGAAGCTTCATCTGCTCCCTTCCCCACATGTGGTCGCTTAGGCCCTTAGCATGAGCTATCTCCCTTCATTGATTCCCTGTCACTGATTTTCCTCTTAAGAGAGGCTGATGATTCCCCCCCCTTCCCCTCCCCTTCAGTGACCCTATCACCCTCATCCTCTTTCGTCTCTTCCTCCCTCAATTCCTTACTACTTGAATCGGTCTTACTTCCCTGTACAACATCGTCCTCCTTTTCCTCTAAACATCCCTCTGCTTCTGACTTTTGTGCCTCCTCTCTTGCTCTTCTGTTCTCCAAAAAGGCCAGCTCCGCTGCTTGGCCCACCTTGTGCAGCTCTACCATGGTCTGTAGTCTCTGCCTATCGTCCAACAATGAGGCATCATCTATCATGGGCTTAGTTATAAAGCCCACGTCCCTATCCACCATCCACTTTGCGCCCATTTGCCTCCATCTGCTGTCATATGGAGGGTAGATGTCCGGTTTCACCGTTGGTGCGCTTCGAAGAACCCACACCCATTGTGGAATGTCCAGGTTGTCGTCGAATATCCAGCCCCTGTATTGTGCTGAATTGATAAACCAAACACTTGGTTTGTTACCTGATTCAACTAGCATTGATTGCTTTAATTGTGGCCGACCACCTCCTGACCCCGACCCAAAATGTGGCCAGTGCATTCCCAAGTGCCCCCTGCCCCTGCACTTAAAGCAAAATGGATTGTTTTTTGTGGAAATAAAAACAGTAATTCTTTCTGTCCGCCTGCGAAAAATCCAGACCTATGGAAACTTTGGTGGAGTTCCCGACTTAACCTCCAAACATACCACCCTTGAATCATGGTTCGGAGCAAGAAAGTCCGGATTAACAGGGAGCCACTCTATGGTTGGGTTATTTGGGAATTCCTCCATCAGACGTTGTTGAACAAAGCTATGCACACCCTCCGACAGGTGGTCAAATTGTACCCAAAAATGATCTCTAAGCATAGACTGTCTGTGTCTAGATGCTTCCGACGATGGTGGCTGAGGAGGCTTCCAAGCTTGAATGGTTACCACGGACCCATGACATTTTAGAGAACCCAGAGATAGTAAAAACTGTGCATACGCTGGATCCACACAAACTATCATTACCGTAAATCTTCCCCTTCTGTGATATGACACTTCTGGTTCCGTGCCTGGAATGTGCTGGAATTCCCTGAGCCTTTCCATCACCCACTTTTTTTTTTCGTTGAGTGAGAGTTCCTTGTTTTTGCCTGAAAAATTAAATAACACAGCATGACATGCATAGAGATCGTGAAGTGACTGCAGATCTTGTTTCGGGTATTCCCATACATCCACTTCCTCCTCCTTTCCATCTTGTCGCGTGACCACCTCTTTTGTGACTTTGACCAGTGTCGTAATTTTTGTTTTTTCCATCAGGAAATCAAGAGTTTTTTGTCCCAACGCTCTAGATTGGCTAACCCTAACACCTGAGTTTGTCATGCTTTGTGATGCTGATTGAAGCTCTACTCGACTCCTCCCCCCCCCCCCACACCTTGTACCTTCAGTTGTTCGCTCTCCCTCCTGTCCTTTTCCGTCATAGCCCTTTGGGCTGCCATTACGTATGTGAACGACATTTTCGAAATTCTTGTGCTAACCCCTGAACCAGAGTCTAGGCAACCTCCCTCCACTGTCAGCTCCTTACTCACTTAGTCTTTCCTTGTGTGACCGCACCACCCCGTCCAGTCCCCTCCCCTTGTCCTGCCGCTTTCACACCCCCCCTTTTTTTTTTTTTTTTTTTTTYTCCCAAGTGATTACTCCTGGTTGATTCGAATTCTAATCTATACTACTTGCTCCCTTCCCCTTCCCACTCTTTTCTTACGCCCTGTCACCTTCCCTTCTCCTTCTTTTCTACTCCTCTCACCCCTCCGCTTCCCTTTCCTCTTTATGGTTCGTGACTTTCTCTTCCTATGCCCCGTCCCCTCTTTGTCCCTCTCCCTTTCACTCTCCCTTTCACTTCTCTTTCCTTCTTATGGCCCGTTACTTCTCTTTCCTATGCCACGTCATCCCTTCGTCAATCTTCCTCCCCCTTTTCTTTCCCTTTGTCCCGTCACTTCCTTTTCCTTTGCCACGTCATCCCCTCTCTTTGTGACATGTCACCCTCTCTTCCCCCGCTCTCCACTATGGCCAGTAACGGACTCCCCTCTCCGTGTAAGAATAGAAGTCCTTTTACCTTTTTTTTTTTACTTTACCAATGTAGAGCCGATGTATTCGTGAAGGTTAATCCCCCTACGATATAAAGAAGTGTTGACTTACCGCCTTCGTGAATCCAACCTTAGTGGAATGCCTCACCCGTAGAGATGACCCAACCTTCTTCCTGAATCCTATCACAGCGCCATGCCACCAGCGTGTCAATGTCTCAACAACCCCGTGATGATGATGTCAACTTTGTTCAACCTTGACATCACTTTCCTTTCCTTCGCCACGTCATCCCCTCCCTTTATGACACGTCACCCTCTCTTCCCCCCTCTCCCTTGTGACCAGTATCGAACCCCCTTTACTCTCAACTCCCACTCGCTTTGTCTAGGCTTCACCCGTCGTGGCGAACTCCCATCTTCCACGGACTTCCCACCCCCCCGCGATGGTTGTTGTGTGTGTCAACATGAGGGACCCGCGAGTCCCGCCCCGTTTAGCCCCTTCCGTAACCCCGCTCCTCCACCCTAGTACGATCCCCGTCGTCACCGCTTTACACTCGCCTCCGCTCCTCCCCCCTAGTATGATCCTCGTCGTCAGCGCTTTACACTCGCCTCCCTGTTGATGTCACACATCGTCGCGCGTCGCACCCGGCAGCGCTTTCCACTTTCCCGCTATTGACGTCACCCTCGTTGACTAAGTCCCCGGTACACTCGCCTCCCTGTTGATGTCACACGTCGTCGCGTCACACCCGACAATGCTTTCCACTTTCCCGCCGTTGACGTCACCCTCGTTGACTAAGTCCCCGACATAGCGCCCGAATAGTTCTCTCGTCATGCGCTAACCCGTCGGCGCTAAGCCCATGATAGATGATGCCTCGTTGTTGGAAGACAGGCAGAGGCTACAGACCATGGCAGAGCTACACAAGGTGGGCCAAGCAGCGGAGCTGGGCTTCTTGGAGAACAAAAGAGCAAGAGAGGAGGCACAAAAGTCAGAAGCAGAGGGAGGTTCGGAGGAAAAGGGGGACGATGTTGTACAGGGAAGTAAGACCGATTCAAGTAGTAAGGGATCGAGGGAGGAAGAAACGAAAGAGGATGAGGGTGACAGGGTCACTGAAGGGGAGGGGAAGGGGGGAGAATCATCAGCCTCTCTTAAGAGGAAAATCAGTGACAAGGAATCAGTGAAGGGAGATAGCTCATGCCAAGGGCCTAAGCGACCACATGCGGGGAAGGGAGCAGATGAAGCTTCCACACATGGGGAACAGGAGCACAAGGCAGATATGGAAGAAGAAGGCAAGGGGGAGCAAGGATCTCAAGGGGAAGAAATGGAAATTACAGCCTCTTCCGACGATACGTCAGCGTCAACTTCAATGGACCAGCAAACAGAACATGGGCCTTCAATAGGTCGAACCAGCTCTACAAATAGATCACCTTCAGGTGATACGGAAAACACAATAGAGGATTTGAGGGGGGAGGAGGATGAAGGAGCGGGGAAAATGTAACATGATTCGGATTCAGATACAAATTTGGATGGGGACAATGACAAGGGGGAAGAGGAAGGGGAGGAGGAAGAAGGGGAGGACGAACCGGAGTCACTAGCACAGTGGATCAAACACGTTCACAAGCTGAAGTGGGAGAGACACATTGAATGTGAAATTCGTCTGGCACACCACAAGCATCTGTGCAATTTGAAACAAGCCACAGCAGCGGGGGATGGCATTACAACAGCGAACAGATTCGAGAGACTGAAGAATGAACAGGAGGTTAATGAGTCTTACGCTACGCAATGTAGATGGAAGGCGTGATTGGACAAGAATGACATCACGGTGCACAATGTTGGGTACGCCAAGCAGTTCATCTGGCCCAAATCTTACCAGCCACATGGTTTGAAGAGATCTGAATAGAAACGAAGGGCCCAACAGCAAGAAGCAGAGCAATTGGGAAGTAGTGATCAGGCTTTGTCAGATTCTGCCCAGGGGTTAGGTGTGGATGAACAGATGGAAGAGGAAAAGAGGCAAGCAGTGATCTTGGAGGCACAAGTCGAGGCTCTCAGGGATCAGAACAGGGAATTGGAGGAAGACAATATAAATTTGCTGAAAATAGCCTACACTCCACACACAGACATCAATGCAGCGACCAAATTGTACGCAAGACAAGACCCAGGTAAGAAAATCATTTTGCCCTACAGATGGAACAACGGCAACACGAATTGGGAGGTGGTCATCCAAAGGTCTCTAGCACTAAGTACAGCGAAGGACAGTCATTGCGAGCTTGAGATATTGAAGGAACGTATCACAAAAGATCTGCCTTCGCAGGCACATGTCATTGGGGACCTCACGCATGATAGGGAAGAATGGGAAGACGTGGCGGGGATAGTGCACATGATGGACTATAGGCTAGTCATGATTAAGTTGCAGGAAAAGGCAGTGTTGGCTGAGGGATTGATCTGGATGCCATGGCAAGTAGTGGAGACGATCCCGTATGGACTGCTGGGGGGTTCGGAGGCGGCAGAATGGGTGGCAAGGGGAGCGGCTATAGTGGCCAAAAGTGACGTGTTTGCATGGCATCCGGACTACATTGACGGAAAGATCGAGACCTGGCTACAACAGTAGAGTGGATCCGGGTAGGATCCTGAGTAGGATGCTTGTATAGAGTCAAATAAGACATCATAGCTCATGGAGGCGGGATTGAGAGAGGGTGTGTATAAGCGTAGAAGGACATCGGATACTTCAAAACGTAGGGAGTGGGACCTTAGGGTCATGTCTTGGAACATCAATGGAATGGTACAGATTTTGGAAAACAAAGACAAGTGGGACAACGTAATGAGGTACTCAAACTGGGTTGGGAAGACACCGCCAGAATACTTAT